GTATTTTGTATTTTTTATGTAGCATAATGCTAAATAAAGATTATATTATTATTATTATTAGAAAGTAGACTCATGACACCACCATATGGAAGTGAATTAAATAGGTACCCATCAGATGAACAAAGGCACCAAAGCTTGAAGCCAGATCGAACTGGCTTACCCCTTATAAACATTTTGCCGGACTGGCGGCTAAAGTATTTGTTCATCTATGGATATCAGTTTTATCCAACAGATTATTGTCAGATAATTGCAAGTTTTGCTTTATCAATTGGAATCTATTGCGGCTCATAAATGTTTTTATAACATCAATTCCTTTGTCTTCATTAGTAGACCAAAATGCTAAATATCTGACAATGAATGATAACCCGAGATCAATAAAATGCCTATAACATTTAAAGGTTCATTTTTTGACAACGAGAATTCCTGGCGGTTATTGTCTCGAGAATATTTTACCGAAAATTTTAAAATCAAATCAATCACTTCTTCATCAAAAAACATAAAAAATATTTCAAGTGGAATTTTTTCAGAAAGCCTAGTTTTTAGTTCCTCATATGATCTAAATTCATCGTATATAGGTGTGTGAGTGTATTCAATCTGACCTTTCTTCCATGTGACAGTAGAAGTAAGCCTGTCGTTTACAGAAAGCATACGTCTTCTTTTGCTTCTTTTGAATTCCAGGGTTTCATCGTCTGATGAGTCCTATTCAGGTTCAGTAGTTGATGAATTACAGGACTGTTGAAGGACAGCTGTATCATTCGGTGTATTTAACTCGAAAGTTCCAACTATATCAGTTGGTTCCCCAAACTCTTGTAGATTTATGTTGTCGTTCATATCTTCGTCAGTCAAGGTATCCCCGTCGGGTGGAATATAGACCGCCTCAATATGTTCTGTAAATATTTTTTTAAGTTATTTTTAGCACAAATTTACAAGGAATGGAATGCTACAATACATAAGAAGCACGATCTCCTCCATAGCCGCTTCTAATTCCTTTTGAGCCAAATACCTCGGAAATGCCATATTTTACGAACTGAAACGTTCACTGCACAAGGCACAAACTAATAGTAAAGAACACGCTAATTGTTGGATGTTTATTGTACATGCGCTGACTTGCCTAGACTTGCAATAACAAAGTTTTGTTTCACAGATAAAACCAGTGGTGCATTCCCGCACAAGCAAATATTTTCAAAAAATAAAGCATAACCAATATAGTATTTCCAATATATGTTTTCTGTGATGTAATCTACATGCAATAAACTTAACAAAAACAGCAATACAAATCCAAAATATTTTTTTTTACTATTTTGGATTTACTTGCAAAAGTGATACAAATTTATGTACCGCTTTTGTTAACTTTTGTCATATATCTTTACAATTTTTTGTTTACATATAAATTAGCGATTTCTACGGTTTTATATACTCTAGTAGTGATAATAATAAAATTTCTAAATGGATGTGCAAAATACTTCCTGGATGTGACAAAAAAAAAATCATAGAATAGGTGGTGCATTAACGTACCACTGGGACAAAATGGGTTAATCAAATAAGTATTTTGATAGCTCGGGTCTTGAGACATACATTACTAGATTAACAGTGCTACGTTGACTGCGCTAATTGGTAATATTTTCTTTTGTAGTAGTTTTTTGAGAAATATGCAGATTTTTTATTCCAGCCATTAGATGCGGAAGACCGTGCAAATGAATTTTGACGACTTAATACCAACAAGTACTTGCCGTGTGTAATGGGAATGCACTGTTATTTACGCGACTTTGCAAATGTCAACTGAAGATGCGCCTCCGAGACCTTGAGATTTGAGCAAAACGAACAGCACATTGGCGTGGAATCGGTAGACAAATTCTGGGGAGAATGTGCAAGTAACACGTGACTTGGAGTTTTGAAATTCTCTGATGAACCTAGGTGTATAATCGTGGCTGTTGGATGCCTGCGTTATGTTTCATTTTAAGTGTCTTTTTGATTATTTGATTACTTTATTATATGTTTATTTCATTGGCATGCAAAATATTCATTATTCTGATTACAATTTTATCATATAACACCCTTCATATTGAATTCCAGTTGTTATCGATATATTGGCAAAAATTGGAAAAAAATAAACTAGTCTTATTTTACTACAACTTATAAAAGAAGGACATTATTTCCATTAATTCCATGCAACAACAAAAATAAATTAAAATCTTTTCTACTTTAAATAATATTGTATTTGACCACCAATACCATGGTTGCACGGAAATTCCACAATATTCCACAATAGAAGAAAACCATTAATTTCAAGTCGAGCTTATCAACCAATAGATACTATATATATATATAAGAAAAATGACCCACCAACGGACAACACTTAAACAAAGATGATATAGGCGAAAAATGGACAAACATAACAATTGTTTCTACGAGGAAGCAATGGCTTCAGAATATGGACACCAGAAGTATCAGCTGCAATTAAGCATTTAATAGTATCCAGAGAACAGAGAACTATAGGTATATTAGTAACATGGAAAACGATATATATGGTATACAAAGACTTGTCCATAAAAGTAATGAAAATATTAAATAAACAAGAAAAAAAACAGGTACAAATCAATCAAATAGAAGAAGATGAATGGATAAAACATTAAAAGCTCTGAAATGACGAATTCAAACAAAATTCCCACGGATGAAAACTGCACTATAGGATTAGATGCAATAGATTTAAGGGAACCGACTGAAGCTCTAAAAGCTGCACCGAATGGGGATATCGAGGTATGTTACTACATCTGCATCTGTTGAATAAATGGAAAAGAAAGAATGTACCGACGAAATGGCAAAAATCACAGGTAATATTCAAGAAGGGTAACAAAGATGAAAGCAAAAACTATAAAGGCATCATCTTATTGAACTCGTCCTATAAAATACATAACAAAATCCTAAATAATAGATTAAAAGTAATATTTGAACACATAATAGTAGATGAGCAGATGTGGTTGACAACAGGACGAACAGCAATAGATATACTACAACAATTAATAGAAAAGCAGCTAGAGCTTAGCAGAAAAAGTCATTCAATCAATATTCATCGATTTTGACAAAGCTTGCAATAATTTAAATAGACCAAAATCTATGCGAAAATATGTTCCAAAAAATGGAACTGACAGACTGACAGAAACAACACACTCAATATAATTTATTCCGCAGACGATTTGACTTTTATTGCAAAAAGTTTGAAAGACTACAGGCTACAACAACTAATTGATGAATATTGTGTGAAAATTTTAATAGAGAAAACAAGTTGTAGCCTCTACGGCAACGCAACCAATTACCTTCAAGAACCCTAATAAATAAAGATAACTACAAAGTTTGCGATATCTTGGATGCAATAGGAATTGTATCCCACACAATAACACTGAACAAAAACTACATGAAATTCGTCCACATGTGTGAAACAATGACAAGAACAGAAAAGAAAGGCAATGTGACAAAAAAAAACAAATCAGAAATGAAAATATCCGAAAAGAATAAAGATAACAAAAAAAGATATCGTTTAGGCACACCGCGGAAAAGATTGGTACCTTACCTGATAGCTGAAGTGGGGATGATGATGATGATGATGCTATTGAGGGGTAGATCTCCCATAGAACGTACTATACTGTGTCCTAAGACATGAAAATGATAGCGGACATAAATATATATTGTTGTCTATAACACCATTAGGTACTCCTTCCTCCTTCGTAGGGTGTTTACTCCAAACATGTTGCTAAAATTACCGTCCGAGAGACTCGAATGGTTGGGGACCCTTTAATTCTTTCACGGATGACCGACTCATTCAGACACACTAAAGTATTTTGGTCTTATCGAATAAAATCTGGTGTCATGTTTTCCGTGACGATGTTCAGAATGTTCTTCGAATTTTTGATATTTCATCGGGGACATTTTGAAAATTATTATTATTATCAGTACAGTGACAACTGGAGGGTTATTTACGGATGCCACTGGTGTAAGTAGTTTTAGTGAGATGTATTTTTTAATTGAACTTCTAATATTTTTTGATTTTTTTAATCTTTGTTCTCATTTGTTATTATTTGGGTATTAGTCATCCGTGAATCTATTAAAGTTGACCCTTCCACTCGATCCTCCCTGGCATGTATTGAAGCTGCGTACGGACCAATCAAATTATTTCCAGAGCTCTGAAGCTCTTTGGCGAATGGTGAACGAGACAAAGTCGACATCCGACGCCGGAGAAATCTAAACGTCTTTTATTTCATATACTTGACTAGGATTATTTATAGACCAGTATTTTGTCTATAACAGCTTTTTTTTGTAGTGAGCGATCTTCATAAAATGAAATAATTTATTATTTTCGTTATATCTATTTATAAAGCCTATTCAAATACACATTTTTAGAAATTATATTTTCTTAAAACCGAGTGGATTGAAATGCGAGAAATATGTGTCCTTAAAATCTGTAGTGCCAGAACCACTTTTTTTCATTTTTTGGTACAAACTTTTCGATAATTAGCCAGTCACCGGTTTCTTTGCAAGTCTTGAAATTCGGCGCCCTGGAAAAAGTCTAACATCCTAGCGACCCAACCCTTAGCATTTACCCGTTCATTATTCTGATTATTCTATTTTTTAATTGTAACCAAAACGACGTGTTCTATTTAATGCTGAGAAAATATATAGGGTGTTCCAGTTAGCACGATATGAAATACGCTTCATTATAAAACAAAAAAATACGACAGTGGGTGATAAAACGAGCAGCTCTAAATAGGTGACAGTTTTGGTGAAACGAGGCGAGAAATCTCGTCTGCGCGCCTATGGATTAAACTTTAACCAATTTCTAGTAAGAGCATGTGATAAAAAAAAAACGTTTGACATCTACACTAGCATTCGTATCCAAACGCATAATCATTTATTCTAATAATAAAAATATTTTGCCTTATGGCGGATATTCGTGAGTGGTAGGAGCACATGCACGTTATTAATTAGGTATTCCTATAAATACTCACCCCGATGTGAGATAATGTCACATCGTTTATAGTTGGTTAACCAAAACGTACGCACAAAATGAAGGTGGTGAGTAATAATGTTCTTTTTTTTTGCTCGGCGGCGGGGCGAGGGGGGGTACCCGTTTTCGTTAGTTCATGGTGATGTTTAAAGGGCACTCTATAAAGTCCGTAGATTACATCAGATCCAAAAAAATCAAAATTTTTAATTTTTGTCAGATTGTCTGTTCTCTGTTCTGTCTTTCGAACCGTTGAAGCTAAGGTAATGTAGAATGGCACCGGACTGACCGCTGGTTTGTGCACTTTCGATTTTCGAAGCCACTGATTTGAAATTTGCCGCTAACATACAGCTTAGTCATCTGATGGAGTCAATGAAAATCGGGAGGGTTGGGAGTATGAAATTATTTTTAAAAAATCAAAAACCACGTTTTTTTGGGGTGCGGCAAGAAATTTATTTGTTGAAAAACCATTGTCCGAGAGAGAAATTTTTTAAAAAAGAACCGGGGTGACAAAAATTGTTCACGATTTTTCAAAAATATACAGGGTGCGCCGGTTGTGGGCAACTAGACTTCTCCCTAACTGGTAGTATAGGTCGTATGGATAACCATTTTTTTTAATTAACGTTTTCGTATTATATAGAGTTTGCAAGATATTTTGCGCTACGTTAAAAAATACAACCGGCTTACAATATTTTGGTTTGATTCGGGAAACGCGGAAGTTTGGGGCTAGAACCTCTACTTTGAGCCTTTATTTCGATAATGTAAAGGGTGCATCGGTTATAGGTCCGTGAAGATTGCCTTTTTTCTTAGGTAACTGAAAAACCTCGTCAAATTTGGCAATTTGATTTAAGCGACGGTGTAGCTTGCGGTACAGGGTGCGCGAGATATTGAAAAAAAGCAAAAATTATTGAAATAACCGTTCAAGTCGAAACACAAGAATTCTTTTGGTGGCTTACATTTCGTAAAAATTAAATAAAATCGTTTGTATCATCAAAATTATACTGTAATAACTACAAAAGTAAATATTCCATTTTGGAAAATTCTTATCCCGGCGATCGGTTAATTTGTATGTAAATTGTTTATACGATCCTAATAAAAAATCGTCTTCCATTAACTAATTTATTATTTAAATTAACAAATTTGAAGGTTTTTGGCGAACGGGTCCGCATAAACTCGAAATTTACGACCTAGAAAAAATGCAATGCGTTTTGGACTGACAATCCTTCCGCATTCGAAGCAGTTTTAGTGGAACCCTGACCTTTCAATAGCGCGTCATCGACCAGCCACAGATAATAAATGTGTTAGATAAAAATTCCAATATAGCAATGGGGTTAAAGCCAGAGTTCTCTTCTTTCAGATTGCCGCCCTTTCCACTCTAATCGTTCTTGCATCGTCCGCACCTCAGCAGAGCTCTAGAGATGCGACCATATTGAAATATGAAAGTAACAACATCGGTGTAGATGGATATAACTTTGCGTAAGTTGCAATGCTCAAATCAGCCTTAATTAGGATTACGAGTTCGAAAAATTTTAAATTTTTAATCGGCCTGCATTAATATAATTACCGAAAGTTTAAATGTTGAAATCAGAAAAGAATTCCAATAGAGAGCGGTTTTGAAAACTCATCCTAGAATTTGATGTTAAATAAGACAAAGCAGGAAATACGTGGGAAAATGGATATCACCCGATTTTAATGGAATTGTAATATGTTGTATTTTAATATAGTGTTCATATGATTTTGCGCTAAAATAAATAAATAAAAATAAATTGGTTTTTGACGATGTATACGGGGTGTACTCATAGAATTGTATATAAATTCTTAATTTTTTTTGGATGCTACTAAAGTGTTGAAGAAAAATACATTTTATAAAATAGTCGTCAATAGTTTTTGACGTGCGAATTTTTCTAACCCACAAGAATATCGATATCGTCATCAAATATTTATTCTTGTTTTTGATAAAAATGTACAAGATCTACTAAAAAAGCTTTAACTTACCAGAAAATTTTATTTTCACTACGGGATAGGTGAAAAACAGATTTGAAAAGAAAAACTTGTTTTTTATTTCATTTCTCAATGACAAATCAGTTTTTATTATACTAGACCGATACAATTTCAAAAACATAAAACATAACAAGTAACGCAAATTTTGCTCACATAGGAAAAATTAATTTATTCCAATTCTGAGGACTGATGAAACAATTAATTTTTCAAGTTTGTTTTATTATTAAATATTATTATTATTATTTCAACATAATTGAAAATCCAAACATGGAAATTATTGAAACGTATTTAAATAACAAATACTAGAATTATATTAGCCGAATATAATTTAAAAAATCATGATTTTTAACGCACTATTAAAAATAAACGTATCTAGTCACAACTTTTAACGTTAAAGCATAAGAACAAGGCTTTTTCACAAAAACAATTGCTAAATTTTGTAAATTATTAGAAAAAAAAACAATTAAAAAATATTTAAAGAAAGATATGCGTTGGTCAGAAAAACTCTAAAATTGAAAAAATTGTACTTTTTTTATTGCACCTCGTGTACAAAGTGAAAGCAATAATCTGTGTTTGGCATCGGATTGCTTCGATGGTTTTTCACATTTTTGCAACATATTTTACCTACTAAATAACAATCAACATTTGCTTGAGCCTGGTAACAGTCTATCTATCTAAAATTACTAGAAATTTTAAGCAATTCGATTTATGTACCTTTCAAAAAGACTTAGTAAATCCCCAGAAAGCTGATATACTCTCTGGAACCATCCCTATTCTTTTTGGCTACCATTGACCAATAAATCAAAAAATAAAATTCTCCTTGTTTTACTAATGCTTTACTAAAATAATGGAATAACGCAATCATTTTCTCTCGACTGGGAAGTACGGTCTGAAAACAATTATATTGACTACCTAAGTCGTACAAGAGATTTGGACAATTATCTGAACATTTAGAACAGCATAACGGATTAAAAAACGGAGATATTGAGGTTATTGATTTTGTAGACTCTGTCCGTCAGATTTCTAACATCAATATAATTTCAGAAAAAATATTTTATAAGAAAAGCTTTCGATACTCTCAATCGTGCAATTATAGAGCAATAATAAGAATAATTGCAGAATTGGATAGAGATAACAAAAAAAATATAAAATAAAAAACTAGCTTATATAGAAAAAATGACGCCGTAAACCGACGAGTAATAACAAAGTCAATGAATACGTAAATTCTGTTGGTAATAACTTTTTTAAAGCCTCTAAAATTAATATTAAGTAAGTCAAGTAGGAGTCAAGAGGAGACAACGATAATTAGTTTTAAAAGCCGATATAATATCTATAATGTTATTTACTAACTTATAAACAAAGAAAATATCAAAACACTGCCATCTGGACCTCAGTAATTACAAGTGATAATAGTGTAAGGTCTCTTTATAACGCTGAAAGTAATTTTGTTTGATGAACGAAAATTAAGAGCATTAATGACTTTTATTTGGACACGCTTGATTCGGTGAACCTAATTGTTGTACACCGAACTCCAAACTGTTGTCGAATACTCTACAATACTTCGTACCATACTACAATGTAATGTCCCTCAGTACCTTTTTTTTTTAAGTTCTAGATGCTTCCCCAGCAGAACGAAATTTCAAAGTTTACCAGTAAATTTAGGTCATAGGTTTAGGAAAAGAACGGAAGGGATAAGATTACTCAAACCTAGACCTACTTTCGTAGAAATCATGTTGGTTGCTGTCAACCAACCAATAGCTCCAACAAGACAGACTGAAAAACTTTTCCAAAATTGCCAACATTAATTTTATTTTTGTTGCCGGTTTTGTAGATCGGAACGATCTGGGCAACCTTCCATTTATTCGGAAAAATTCCAGACTTTGTCAAAAGCTTTTAAAAAGCCAATATAAGCAATTCAGACATCACGATCACCTATATTGCCGCAAAGATTCCCTAACTGAAGAGAACAAGATTACTTGACAAGATTATTATAGACCGACCCTTGTAGAACGTACAAAATATACTCAGAAACTTCTCCAAAATGGTATTTAAATTCCAGCTGTTGAAGAATATAAAAACGTGGGTATTAACTTTGACAATTAACCTAGATTTCGTACACAGTCTTTAAAGTTATCCAACAAGTTTGTATTAGTTTCCGCAACATCTACAAAATAAACACATTCTGAACTTTAACTTAATAAAAAAAACTGTCCATGAAGTAATGTTTCTGGGTCCTCCAAATTACTGTTATTTTGGGACCTTGCTTAGCTGCTTTTTACAAAAAGTACAGAGCTCTCTGGGTTCGTTTTATTCATAAAAGAATTTTAAACGAAGATAAGACGTAATTCGTAAGCTTCACGATGTAAAAAGTTATATAGAGCCTAGAGGCTCTACATTTTGCTTATTTTCTTAACAAAAATAACTTTTGAAATTTTAACTCTAAAATTAAGAAGACCATGACTAAAATCTCCTTCTCGTATACATCTGTTAGACTGCTTAGTGAATATTTATTTATTTATTTATAAATAGTCTACCTAACATAATAATAACCATAATAATAACCTAAAATCTAACATAACATAAGCATTAACCCTAATGAAAAAGAACAAGGGAAGAGGAAACGACTGATAATTATAGTTAATGGGCAATAACGTTTGTGCTTTGCTAATAGATTGCTAAAAAAATTCCAAATCAGGTCGACCATTGTATTTGTAGCACATTGAGAAAATACATGAAAATTTTAAAATATTTGTTCTGAGCAGAAATAATGTTGGCCTATATCTAGAGTTCATACGGGGAACAAAGAAATTTAGTCTGTATAATATGTCAGCGTAATCAAAGAAGTTATTTAAAATTTTAAATAAAGACATTAAATAACGGTAATCATGGCGATCGTTAACAGAAATATATTCCAAACAAAAAGCCTTGGGGGGGGGGCATACTCCCACCATTTTATGACATACATATTTCAAAAACTTACACTGGATTTGTCACACTCTATTAACGTGGCAAACTACTGATGCATACTCCATCTTTGACCTGACATATGAGTTATATAATATTTTGATCATTTCTGTATTTTTAAAATCTATGGGACAACGTAGGATATGTCAATCGAATATTACTCCCAAATCTCAAAACGTGGTGGATGGGGAGTTTAGTCCGGCCTTTTTAAATTTCATTTTAAAAAATAACTTTTACTGAAAAATACCTGTATAATCAAGAAGTTTCCTTTACGTAATATTATCATTATGCACCTCTTTTGTCACAATATATTAATCACTAACTAATAAATACCATACATTAAAAAAGTATTAAAAATTGTTAGTAAAATCTATTTGTTTTCACAACAAGCTAGATATATTTAAAATCGACTAACGCTTTAGTTCTAAATAAAATAATGTATAATTTTAGCTTTTTTAATTTGGCGAAATTTATTTATTTATAATTCAAATAAATATTTATTTTAATAATTAAACTATAATAAAATTAACTTATTATGCAAACTATACTGAATTATAGAATAAATCTTTTAGTGTAAACATAATACTTTATAAATATTTTTTGAATTGATCTTTCTAGATACCGTCCTCTACTTTCTTCCGACTTATTGCACTTTAAAGTGAAAATGGTGTGCACCATGATTCTAGAGCTAAAATGATAGTAATTTAATTAATATCACTTCTGAAGCCTTTTATTACATATGTATATATTATTTTTCGAGGAAATTAGTTATTTTAAAATTTGTGTTCCCAAAAATCAAAGCACGGAATTGATATAATGGAAATTCTAAAGTTCTATTTGCAAATCTCCTGGTTGCATCCTGCGTCGGTCATCCTGTTGACTTGTTCAGAGTTTCACCGAAATTGTCTGCATCAACAACTGAAGCAGGAGGAATCCAGAAGATTTGCAAATAGTTTTGCAGTAGCCTGTGGTAGTTTCTTTGAAAAATTAAAAGGTTCTATAAAAATGAACAATTAGTCCAAATTCGGTTATCGATTTGCAAAGAAAATTATCAACTCGTCAGACGAATTATCTGAGGCTTCACGCAGTTCCACTGCTTTTACGAAGGTCGCGATGTCGCGTGTGGGAGAATCTTTAGCGCTAAACCGCAAGGAAAAACGAAAATGAAAGTGAAGATGAGTTTAGGTTGGGTATAGGTAACTGGGATGTAACCTTGAAAATACTTTCACGTACTGATCGGGAATACACATCCTGATACCGCGTGCAGAATTTCAACAATTTTATCGTGTAAAACACATTTAAATATTGACGTTAACCGGTTTCCTATAGATATCGACAGTTTTTTTTCAGTTTCAAATCACCGGCAAATGTCAGTAAACGAACGTTAAATAATTATCATCATGTAGTTTGTATAAATGAATTATATTGCAGTCGCATAAATGTTCGGCATTGTTTTAGAGGATGTGTACGATAAGTCGTGAGTAATGACCTTAATGATCGGAAATGTCAAC